TTTTTCCTTTGTTTTGGGTAGGCCTAGATGACATCCCCACTCTTTTAGCACCTAAATTAGCAGCCTAGATTGTAAAAAAAAAAAAAAATTTACTAACATACAATAGTTGTCCAGGGAGATACACTGTAACATTTATGTAAGTGCTTACCATATATCTTACATTTACCTCCCCCCCCATCATTCTCTTTTCTCCCTCTCCCCTTCTTAGAACAATTTCAATAGGTGTCATTCTTCTATTTCCATATATGGATACGAAATTCATCTACCATATTCCCCCTTTCCTTATGCTCACCCACTCCCACTGGTAGCCACCCAGGGCAAAGACCTGTGTTACCATCCTGCCCTTCAGTTTTTATCTTTAAAGTATATATTGATAAGGGGTTTCACCTTGGTATTCAGGCCTGGCTCTATCACCATGCTCCCCTAATACTGAGCAGCTTATGGTACATTACATATTATATTCATATATAAGTGAGTTGCTTCAGTATTTTTCATTTTCTAACATTTTCTTTTTCCCCCTCTCCTGCCTCCTGTTGTATGTATCCCCATACAGACTCACTAATAGTCTTGTTCTCTCACTATTTATGTCTGACAGGAAGGAAAGGTGACATACTTGATGACTTGTATTACCATACTGATTTTTCTTACAGTGGGGTAAACTAGTTCTCTCTCTCTCTCTCTCTCTCTCCCCTCTCTATCGATGGCCCAAGAGTTACTCAAATATCACTATAATGGTCTCCACATGTCCTTAGGTTGATGACATCTTCCTAGACACAGATAATGGGAGGGAATTCATTCAGAACTTATTCACAAGGGCTGGTGGAGTGACCCAAATGGTGGAGCACCTGCCTAGCAAGCGTGAGGCTCTGAGTTCAAACCCCAGTACTGCCAAAAGAAACAAGAATTCATTCAGAAGAAATCATGATCTCTTTAGCCTAAGCAAGAAGTGGGGGAGATAAGTAGCTGATTCGCACATATCAAACATCAACTGACGGGGTGTTTCTACAGAATCTGAATCCTTCAGCAGCACTCTGGGGGACAGACGATGTTATTGCCACCCCTGTATTTCCCCACCATCAGGCTTACCTTCAAGAGCTCTGTGGACAGAGCATTTAATAGGATTGTTCGCTGATGGCCTTTTCAAAATTCTGATTTGTGGGGCAGATGGTGGGGCAAAGGAGGTGAATACTGGATGTGTGCTAGGTATCACCATATACCAAGTGGGAGCCCTTGGACTTGAGGTGGAGGATAGGGCTGGGAGCATGTCTCAAATGTTAAGCGTGCCTGCCTAGTAAGCACCAGACTCTGAGTTCAAACCACTAAAACCAAAACAAATGGAGGGGAAAAAAAAAGTGTCAGAAAGCATACAAACACAATGATGTAGTTTTGACCAGGTATGACTGCTGTGTGTGGTTTGATCAGTCACAGTGAACATGGTGAAAACAAGTTTTGCCACGTGCATAATGGCAATATAAGAGAAATACGGCACTCATGCTTAGTAAGCATGAGGCCCTAAGTTCAAACACCAGTATTGCCAAAAAAAAGAGAGAAAATGAATTAATGCAGACCTCTGTGCACATGACCACAGCCCTTTCTCAACCTATGATAACTCCGTGACTTAAGTGAGTACACACTGCCTCACTCACACTGTACAATGCCAAAACCTGGCCACGTAATAGTAGTTTAATATCCTAAAATGAGAGCTTCCGGGGCAGCCTGTGTGTTGACGGCCTGCACCTGACACCGGAGGATTTCAGTGTTCGCTGTGGTAACCTCAGAAGTGAACACGCGTCTTCCACCTGAAGCAAATCGGACTTTGGATATAAGAAACGTGCCACACAACATCACAGCTGGAGAAATGTATGATATACTGGGAAAATATGGACCTAGTTACCAAATTAGAGGGGAACATACCTGAAACTTGAGGCAACACCTATGTAGTCTATGAAGACATTTTTGATGCCAAGAAGGCTTGTGACCACCTATCAGGATTCAACTTTTGTAACAGATATCCCATGGTTTTGTGGCATAATGCCAACAGGGCATTTCAGGAGGACAGGAGGAGCAACAGTTGAAGCCTCTCAAGGAGAAACATGGTATCAATACGGATCCCCCAAAATAAGTGTTTTTACATTTTCAACTGGACTGAAGTCCATGAATGACAACTTTTTTTTTAATTAATAGTGAATATTGTGATGTCTTGAGATTTAAAATGACTTGCTCAAAACTTTGATACACATTACAATTATTATGTTAATAAACTTACAGCTTTTTGTAAGAAAAAAAAAAATCCTAAAATGATCTTAGACATACCTGTGGCCCAAAGTAATGAGCATCTCAGGTTCTACAGTCTCTTACTGAACGAGACTGCATGTTACAAGTCATAAAATACTCAATCCCCACAAATAAAATGATGCCAACTGCTGTGCTTTCTCTTTACAGGCAGTCGGCATGGTCAGTGTCAAAATGGCAGAACTCTCTGCAGGGGCCCCCACTGGTGACCACCACATTGAGCAGCTGCTAATACCGGGTTGAGGTACTAGATGTGAAAAAATAACGAAGACATCCAGATGCACTCACATGACGACTTTCCAGAGAGCAGACACCCACCCCAGCTTCTACACTCTGCCCACACTGTCATTTACTTTCCTGTATGCCCATGTCCAACTCCTGCATGACTTGCTGTTTGCTTGCACCCCTCACTTTTCTCACAAAAACATGGTAAGAATTAGTTCTTGTCATTCCCATACAGCCAAACACAACAGTGCTAGGATTAGTTGTGCTTAATTATGTATGGTTTTAAGTCTTGAAACCAAGCATGGAAGGATGCTAGCTTACCAGAAAACTGAGGATGGTGGCACACATCTATAACCCCACCACTAAGAACGCTGAGAATACCGAGTTCGAGGCCATCCTGGGCTATGTTGTGAGACCCCATCTGAAAACAAGTATGGCAGTGAACCGTATTCGTGCACTGCATGAGATATTCAACATTTGACCACAAGAGTCAGTGTTAGATGGTTTTGCTCAACACTAGACTAACGTGTGCACGTGTAAAGCGGACTGGCTCAGCTTTATGGCTCCACAGGCTAAGAGCGTTAAACACATTCGTCATTGACATTTTCACCTTCCTGTGGCCTCATCAGAATGTGAGCATATCAGAAGTTGGGGGCATATTTATGGAGAATAATGTCCAACACATTGCAAGAAATAATTCAGTGTTAGACAGTAAGAAACACATAAACAAGTCCAAAAGACCTGCCTCTGTCTTACACTGAACAGCAAGGCCAACTCTTTTTTTTTTTTTCCTTTGGTACTGGGTTTGAACTCAGGACCTCACGCTTTCTAGACAGGCCCTCCACCACTTGAGCCACTCCACCAGCCCCGCAAGACCAACTCTTAAGAGACATGTAACACACTTCTGAGACAGTGCTCCTTAGTGACCAAGATGTACCAAGACAAAAACAAAGCCATCCTACGCATGTATAACAAAGACTGCTAAACAAACTGATCAGGGCTGGTGGAGTGGCTCAAGTGGTAGAGTGCCTGCCTAGCAAGCTCGAGGCCCTCGGTTCAAACCCCAGTACTGCAAAAAAAAAAAAAAAACCTGATAAAACAATTAGTTTTCTGAATCATCATAAATAGGAACATCCCCCTTTTTCTCACTATTGGTACTGCTTTCCCTTCATTCCGTTACGACCACTCTTAAGAGACATGTAACCCACTTCTGAGACAGTGCTCTTAGTGACCAAAGATGTACAAGACAAAAAACAAAGCCCATCCTACGCATGTATAACAAAGACTGCTAAACAACACTGATCAGGGCTGGTGGAGTTTGGCTCAAGTGGTAGAGTTGCCTGCCTAGCAAGCTCGGCCCTCGTTAAACCCAGTAGCTGCAAAAAAAAAAAAAAAAACCTGATAAAACAATTAGTTTTCTGAATCATCATAAATAGGAACATCCCCCTTTTTCTCACTATTGGTACTGCTTTCCCTTCATTCCGTTACTCCACCATTCCAGGTAAGACTGTTAAGATTAGCAAAGACAGAATCGCATTCATTACTTCACTGCATTGAATGGCAATCCGTGCCCTTAAATAAACACCAATCCTCTTAGAGATTCTACTGAGACCACTTTTACTGATGAACCACACAGAGAGTTATAGGGAAAGGACAGATTTATTACTACAATTCAGTACATCCTATTTTACAAAAGTTATGGTCCTAGAGGTCTCTAGTAAGTGGGCATTTACATCAGCATGATGTATTTCTTGGTATGATAAGTGGACAAAATAAAAAATGTAAGCTATAACAATTTAAGCATGAAAAGTAAAATTTACACGCAGAAAAGAAAACTTTTGGTTAGCACATAGTATCTCCCAACATCAAAGGAAAAACGGAGTAACCTGACAAACTTGAATAAGTGATTATGATGGTATGTTGTAGATACCTTCTTGGTAAATGACAATGACATTGGTGTGTTTTCTTATTAGTATATTTAATCATTTTTGGTTTTTTTTTCCTGGGGATACTGGGGTTTCAACTCAGGGCTTTGAGTTTGCTAAGCAAGCATATCATATCAGCTACACCCCCAGCACTTTTTACTTCTCGTGACTTTTTAGATGGGGTCTCATTTTTACCTGGAGCTAAGTGTGCACCAGGGATCCTCCTATTTATGCCTCCAACATACCTGGGATGACAAGTGTGTGCCCAACACATGCGGCTTGTTTGTTGGAGATGGGAATCACCAACTTTTTGCCCAGGCTGAACTTGAACTACAATCTTTCTCGGCCTACTGAGTATCTGGTATTCCTCTTGGATTTTTTGTTTCCATTTGTAACTGTATAATCATCTCTTAAGATTTTTATTTACTTTTTCATGGGGTTGGGGTTTGAAGTCAGTGCTTCATGCTTGCAAAGTAGGCACTCTACCTCTTGAGCCCACCTCCAGTCCATTTTGCTGCTGTTATTTTGGAGACCAGGTCTCATGAACTATTTGCCAGGGCTAGATTCAAACCACAATACTCCCATCTCAGCCTCCCAACTAGATTTACAGGCATAAGCCACTGGCTCCTGGCTTACTCATCTCTTCTATTCCAGGTTTTTGTCCATACTGCTCTTTCGTATCTGTTTACTGAACTAAAGATGATAAGACACACTGCCACATATTTTGTATGGAAATAAATTCTCTCCATTCTTCATTTTCATGTTTGTTAGAATGTCCATGTGCTAAAGAAGGCTTGCCATGTTTCTTCAGGATCACTCCTATGAGTTCTTTCATGCATGAGAAAGGGACAAGATTGAATGCCTTCCCAGTCACTGTAACAAAAATACCTGACATAAACAACCTAAATATTGAATCTATTTATCATTTTTGTTTCTTCATTTTTGTTGGATAGGATCTTACTGTGCAGCCTAGGCCTCAAACTATGTAGCTCAGGCAAACCTTGATTTGTAATACAATTGCCTCAGCCTTAAGAGGGAAATTCTTTCTTTCAGACATTTCAGTCCATCAGCTGGCTCTATTGATTCAAACATTATGACTGTGGGAACAAGTAGTTGAGGATACTAACTCATGGTGGACAGAAAGCAGAGACAGCATGACAGGGAAGAGGGGCCAGGTGAAACCTTCCAAGGTACATCCCCACCTTTGTGGCCTACTTCCTCAATTAGGCCCCACCTTCTAATGTTTCTACAATCTCCTAAAATAGTGCTGCCAACTGGGGACCAAGCTTTGAACACAGGTATGTATGGAGGACATTTCATATTCAAACCAAAACATAAGGTTTCTGCTCGGTGTGAGTCTGTTCATGGCTTTTTAAGTCACTCAAAGAAAGGAAGACTTTTCCACATTGCTCACACACACAGGGCTTGTCTTCATTGTGAGTTCGTGCATGTCTTCGAACATTGCTTAAAGTAAAGAAGGCTTTGCCACATTGCTGACACACATAGGGTTTCTCTCCAGTGTGAGTTCTTTCATGTATTTTGATGTAACTGGAACAACTGAAGGCTTTTCCACATTGCTTACATACAAAGGGTTTCTCTCCACTGTGAGTTCGTAAATGTCTTTGAATGTCACCCAACAGAAAGAAGGCTTTTCCACATTGCTTGCACGTGTAGGGCTTCTCTCCTGTATGAGTTATTTTGTGTTTGTGAAGGGAACTGGAATCGCTGAAGGCTTTCCCACATTCCTTACATACAAAGGGTTTCTCTCCACTGTGAGTTCGATCATGTTTTCGAACATCACTCCAAGAATAGAAGGCTTTCCCACACTGCATACATAAGAAGGGCTTCACTCCACTGTGAGTTCGTTCATGTTTTCGAACATCACTCAAAGAAAAGAAGGATTTTCCACACTGCTTGCATAAAAAAGGTTTCACTCCACTGTGAGTTCGTTCATGTTTTCGAACATCACTCAAAGAAAAAAAGGCTTTTCCACATTGCTTACATACATAGGGCTTCTCTCCAGTGTGTGTTCTTTCATGTATGAGACAATGACTGGACTGCCCAAATGCTTTTCCACACTGCTTACACACATAGGGTTTCTCTCCAGTGTGAGTCCTTTCATGGATTTTTATGTAACCAGAAGAACTAAAGGCTTTCCCACATTGCTTACACACAAAGGGTTTCTCTCCAGTGTGAGTTCTCTCATGTCTTCGAACATCACTCAAAGAACAGAAAGCTTTCCCACACTGCTTACATGTGTAGGGTTTCTCTCCAGTGTGACTTTTTTCACTTATTTGAGGGGAACTGGTATGATTGAAGGCTTTCCCACATTGCTTATATTCATGGGAATCCTGACCAGTATTAGTCATTCCATGATTCTGAGAGCATTCAGGGAAACCGAAGGCTTTCTCATATTCCTCAAATTTATATGGCTTCTCTACATACTTCTGATACTGAAATGGTGTGCAGACAGTGTAAGCTCTGAAGGGCACACTGAAGTAAGAATGAGCAAAGAGGACTTCAAATACATGACTTTCACGTGGTTCTATACCAGTAGGAGTTTCCTTGTTGCCAGTACAATCTGGAGTATGACTGAAGATTTCTCCACACCGAATTCCTTCATTCAATTCACTGAGACTCTCTAAAACTGGTATTCTGGAAATGAGGAAAAGAGCATTACTAAGCTTCAATTTTTAATGACTTACCAGGAGAATTACTGGTTTCACATCCTGCTAGATGGATGCACTGCAGGATGGCTCAAGCATAGATAGGGTCAAAACTGGTATTATTATGGACAATGGTAAAAATGCTTCCCATCAAAGTATTTTGCAAATACCATCTATCTCGCCTTTTTTTTCCTTTTTTTTGAGTGGCACTGGGATTTGAATCAGGGTCTTGAGTTTGCAAAGCAGCTGCTCTACTGCTTGAGTCACAACTCCAGTACACTTTGCTCTAGTTATTTTGCAAACTATGTTGCTAGGGTTGGCATCAAACCTCAATTCTTCCTATCTCAGCCTCTCAAGTATCTAGGATTACAAGTGTGAGCCATGGGTGGGTGCCCAGCTACCTCACGTGTAAATGCAGTTGAGTATTCTCTTTGGAAACAGTTAGGATCAAAAGCATTTGGATGGGAGGTGGCGGGGAAAGGGGTAATTTAAAAATGCATTTGGATTTTGAAATATTTGCATATACATGAGATGTCTTAAACACAGGTCCCAATCTAAACACAAAATTCATTTTTTTCTAAACAAGCTTTATTATTGCATACCCTGGCTAAAGCAATTTATTACAATTTTTAAGACCTCATTTTTTCACATTCACCTGGTATTCAAATCCTGAACATAAGTTTATACATTTGTAACAATTTTGTGCATGGAATAAAGTTTTTGTAACTTAATCCATCAGAAATCACTTGTGCCATGATGTTGGTGCTCCAAATGTTTCCAGTATTGGAATATGTTGGATTTTGGATTCTCTGATTATGAATGCTCAACCTGAATTTTTGGAGAAAGTTTTCTGAGACTAAGTCAATTAGAACCTGGGGTTATGAGTATTCATTTCTTTTTGGTGGTACTGGGGTTTGAACTCGGGGGCTCACACTTGCTAGGCAGATGTTCTAGCACTTCAGCCACTCCGCCGGCCCTGTTTTTTGTTGAACATTTTTAAGAGAGGGTGCCGTACATTTGCCTAGGTCTGGCTTGAACTGAAATCCACCTGATCTCTGCCTCCTGATTAACTAGGATTACAGGTGTGAACCACCAGCACCCAGCAGTTTTCTTGTTTTTAAATGTTATTCTCTCTGATTAACGGACATTGCTTTCTCTTTTAAGTACAATTACCTTTGATTTGTCCTAGGATTTTTGTACACATCTTCAATGGTCTGGTCTTCCCTATCTTCAATGGTCTGGTCTTCCCTTTCTTTTTCTAAAATGAATACCCATAAAATCATTACAAATGATTATGACTTTACAGAGGGATTATTAGAGTCTACTGAGATTCATGGTCACCAATATGACCATGCCTGGTATATTCAGCCAAATATTCCCTTTCCATATTCCAAATCATGGAGTAGCATTGATGACAACAAACACTGGTTCCCTCACTGACTAAGGGAATGAAGTCATCCTTACCAACAGAGGCCAGGTTCCTGAAGGTTTCCACCATCACATCCCTGTACAGCTTCTGTTGTGAAGGATCCAGCAAAGCCCACTCCTCCAGGGTGAAGTTGACAAACACATCATCAAAGGTCACAGACACCTAAAACATCACAAGTGTATGTGAAGGAGGAAAGTGAGTGTGACAGTTCTGAAAACCTAAAAAAGTATTCACATGATGATGGATTCATTCCATGTCTAAGTCATCACACTCTTACTCTTCATTAACACTCAGACCTTCTCACACAGCATTTCTGATGCTAGTCTAAAACTAATAATTAAAAACAGCAGAAGCAGAACAAACATGCTCCTGAATCACTCCAGTTTCTCGTTGAACAGTGGGTCTATAACCCCTCACAGTAATGTCCTCTTATTTATGTGCACAAGAAAGTTAACATCACTTCACCTGAGAATGAGCATTCTTAGAGTGCTTGGGCACAAAACTTGATCTTGCCTGGTATTCGGGGAAGCTCTGTGGGGATGGACCTCACCAGTCAAACTGAACATGGGAACATGGCCTCAGGGTTCCCCAGCAGTTTATATGAACAGTATGTTATTTCTGTACTTTCTATTGTCTGTCCCTCTGAGTGCCTCCAATGTTCTGACATCACAGGGAGCCTACCTGATTAGTTCACAGAATACAATCTGTATGATCAATCTCTAATGAGTTGGTCTGATAGGTACAATGTCGCACCGATTGTGACAACCTGATTCACAGAGAGCCCAATGCCTCCTTTGTGATTGCGGTAAGAGACACTTGAAATCTTCTACCTATCTTTCTTTTAAGATCAAACTTAATAGTATGTAAGACTCATGAAAGAATTCACTATGCCAATGGTAATACGTTAGTTTTCATTGGAGCCTGACAAAGGACAGGCTGTGATGGTACATACCTTAGAGCTCAATGTCAAAAAACGTCACCCCCTAACACACATCAATAAAATTCTGGACTGGAGGTATGGCTTAAGCAGTAGAGCGTCTGCTTAGCAAGCATGAAATCCTGAGTTTGAAACCCAGTACAGAGAAATAAATGAAAAAGTTAATCAATAAAATTCTATGATCCCTAAAATACACTCATAACTAGTCAACAAAAACGATTTTCACAAACTTTGTAGGTAAAACAAATGTGGAACACCATTTGAAATCTTTGACACTAGAAAGTGATAGCTTCCCTAGTTTCACATAAAAAGATACAGAAACTATGGCACTCAGGACACTACATCATTAACATGGAGGATAACAAAAATGTCATGGATAGGATCTTCAGTGGATCAATGTGCATACAGAAAGGTGATTCACAGTGCAGAAGGCATGGAACAATTGTGGTAGAAATCACAAATTTCTTGAACAGACAAGGCAATGGTTCCCACCTGGAAACATACATTGTATTCCCATCTATTCCACGGACAATAATCAGATCATAAATTGAAACAGGAAAGATAAAACTTCAATTTTTCTGAAGACACTGTCAAATTAATATGTATGTAATAAGAGTTTGGTCATGAGGAAATGAATAAGGCATAAAAAATGGATGGCAAAATTTAAAACTACAAAAATTACTGGAGATAAAAGATAAATAACAAGGTAAAACAAATGTATTTGCAACATATGCAATATAAAAGGATTAATTTATTAGTTTACAGACTAAAAATGAGTAGATATGTAATTGAAAAATGACCAAAACATTGTTGACTCAAGATATAAAATCAATAGCAATTGTGATGGAGTGGGAACACTCTAAAGTTGCTGCCCTGCCCTAACTTTTAGTACAGTGTTATTCAACCTGGATTTAGAGTAGCTGTAAATAGGTCTCCTCTCCTACTCCTACCTCTGGAATATCAGTAAAACAACCCAGGAAGCAAGTACACTTAATACCCTAGGGTAGCAGAAAAAAGGGAATCATAAAAAAAAAAATGCCCAATTAAAATGAGAAAAACACAGGGAGCATTAACAAAATTCAGAAACAATTAAGGTCAATTGATAGGCAAGTCACATTCCCCAAGGTGGGGAAATAAAGAGGCTGACTCAAAGGCTGGGCTTGTACTCCTAGCTACTCAGGAGACAGAGATTAAGAGGACCAAGGTTCAAAGCCAGCCCAGGCAAATATTTCCCAAGAGCGTATCTCAAAAAGCCCATCACCAGAAAGGGCTGGCAGAGCGGCTCGAGGTGTAGGACCCGAGTTCAAGCCCAGTACTGAGGGGTGTTGGGGGAAGAATTGACTTAGAGAATCGCAAGTTACTGGAACCTGCACAGGACAGGGAAAGGAAAACTTCATCTGCGCCTGACGAAATTATTGAAGTCTGAGTGTGGACTATTTAGAAAGGTAAAATCTACAGGAGGTCCAGCTATAAAATAGACACCATATATTTGAGCAGTCCCCGCCAGAAGTTCTACCAGGTTCTCACTGCAAAGTCACAGAATAATTGCTTCACTAAAACAGTTACAATACAGAGGATACTAATCTGTCTCTAAATGTAATTACCTAAATATACCAATTAAGGCAGTGATAAGAAAAGTGGTAAAGCAGAGTTGAAAAGAAAATAAGAACAACTTCCGTGTTCTCTTCATGAAAAATGATTTTACATAAAGATATGGGGGGGAGTTCAGGATGTATTGCTCAAAGGATTCAAAATTTCACTTGGGGAGAAGGGCGATAAAGGAGCATGACAGAGGGGTGAATTCAACTATGATACATTGTAAGAACTTTTGCAAACATCACAATGCACCCCCATACAACACTGAAACTTGGACAGTTGTAGATTGTTAAGGGCTTCCTAGGATTTAGCATCCCAGTTTTCTCAAAGTTTTTTTTTTGGAAGGATGATTTGCTATCATCCTTGTTATAAACTTCCTGAAACCCTAGGTTATAAAGTCTTTCTTCATTTCCCCTATACATCCCCTATTTGGGAATTTCAAATTGTGTATTACTATTAAAATTGCTTGAAGTTAGTTCTTACAGCCACTGGACACCTTTTCAGAGAGATGTCCCAAAATTGTTCATACACAGAAAATAACGTAAGTATTGTTCTTTAAATTAAATAACATGATTAATTTTTATCTTTATCATCAGTGGGTTTTTGCTTTGCTTCCTTCTTTGTTTTCCTTAAAGGAACTGACCATGGAAGAGAATCAGATATTTTGCCGGTTCTTTTTTTCTTCAATTGAAACTAATGCTTTTTACAGCAGCATATTTCTTTGTCTATTTGGAGCCAGTTGTTCAAGAATGCCAAGGTCCTAAGCTCTAACTTGGAACTTGGGACACTTGTGTCTACTTGATTGCTTTCTTGAGTTCTCAAAGACCTGTGGTTGGTGCTCTGTGTGTGTGTATATTACGTATAACATACAAACATATATATGTGCACATACATACATTGCATACATTTTAAAAGTTGTCTGATTCTTATTGCATCAACTTTGTACACTTGTCTAATTATATGTGCATTTACAATTCTTTCCTAATCTTTTTGTGGATTATTTTCTTAGCTCCTCCCTGGTTTCCAGACAGGATTTTGTTTACCCTCTCTCCATACTGGACCACCTATATCAGTGTTCTAACTCATCTTGGATGGTCTCTGAGGCATGTAGGCTATTACAACAGAATCACTAATTTTTAGGTAGAGTTGGCCCTATTAGGATACTCTTGTTACCACCTTCATTATCTTAAAAGCAGGTCCCTTTCCTGAGAATCTAAATTCAATGAAAACTTGATGCTGCTTCAGCTGAAAAATCAGCAAAGCTATTAAAAAACAATTAAGGGGAGCTGTTTAAGAAACTGGAAAATTAATTGTAAATTACACTGAATAATTGTGGCTTTCAGTTGTTCTCTATCAATTGAATCTTTGTGCTCTTTTCCCTGTGTTACATGGTGGTCCTATTTTTCTCCAATAAAACTTTTACTTAAAAAAATGTAAAAAAAATTTCACTTGGATAGGAGACACAAGTTCAAGAGACTTATTTTATAATAATATGGTGATTATAGTTAATAAAAATCACTAAAGAATTAGAGTTTAAGTATTTAATTAGCTGAATGTAGCCACTCTTCCCCTGACTTGGGAAATCTGGTCCCTACATACATCATTTCTCAGTTTTGGGGGTGTCCTAGTGTCCTCCCTAGACTCCTCTAACCTTTAGAGGTCAAAGACCAATGGAGGATGAGCCACTTGGGGAAGCCCTGGGATCCCAAATTTAGCAGTGCCAGAAAGGATTTTCTGCCCTAGAACAGTGACAGGAGAGGCATCCCCCACCTGAATGAGAAGAAGGAAATGCAGATTGTGGCCACAGCCCTTCCCAGCCCAGGCTTCCTCCCTGGGATTGGACTTGGCCCCACCCAGGGGACAATCACATTTGAGCTGAACTTGCTGTGCTTTCCACAGTGGACATCTGCTTTCTTCAGAACTCAGTGGGCTCTCATGCTTCTCCCCCGACCCTTTCCCATAAATAGGGTGGCAACTCTGCTCAGGGAATCCAGACTCAGTCTCCCACTGGGACAGCCCTGGCCTCTGAGAAGGAGGCGGGCCTACCTAGGCCAGGCTACACTGAAAGACAGGGAGGACTGATGATGTCTCGAGATCAGGAAACTGAAGTGAGGTGGTGACGTCATGGCCAAGGCTTTCTCACACCTTTTCTCTAAATTCCTTCATGTTCAGTCATGAAAATATGAAACACTCAAACAAATGAATACATTGTTAAATGCAAAGAAAAAGTGAAGCTACATGGCAACAAAATTCTACACAGGAATTAAGACAGAAAAAACGTGAACATCTGAAATAGCTCAGAGAAGTAGATCGCACTCCACAGTTCATAAGGAAAACCTGCATTCAGAAGGTAAAACAGCTGGGCACCAGTGGTCACACCTGTAATCCTAGCTACCCAGGAGGTGGGAATCAGGAGTGATTCATGGGGTTTTCAGGCCAGCCTTGGGGCAAAATAGTGGTCACACCTGTAATCCTAGCTACCCAGGAGGTGGGAATCAGGAGGATCATGGTTCAAGGCCAGCCTTGGGCAAATAGTTCTCAAGACCCTATCTCAAAAATACCCAACACAAAAAAGGGCCGGCAGAGTGGCTCAAGAGGTAGAGTGCCTGCCTAGCAAGTGTGAGGCCCT